AAAGTCATGAGCTTCCTCATTCTGGAGAATGAAACAAGACGTTGCTCTTTAACTGGGTGTCCTGAACCACAAATTGCAATGTTGCTATGAAGCTATGTAGGCACGTTGCATGGCCTACTTGAGAATGTAGAGGATGTAGCAGATTTCTTCAAACTTCCCCCTGCCATCAAGGTCCATCATCCTGTAACTTAAGTCTTCCATTACTGTTACCCTGCTCTAATGTGCACAAATTAGAAAGCTTCTTGAGTAACAATTATATTGGCTAAAGCTAACAGATCTGCTATCAGATCACTTTTAGAATCCATTGAACTAGTACGGCTCCAGGTGGGGACAAGGGCCTGCCTGTGAGGATACAACTGCAGGTTAGGTACAGTATTTAAATTATGCTCTTGATAACTCCAAATTAATGCCCCTTTAAGAAAGAGGCTTTTGTTGCTGACTTCCATAGTAACAAGACAACAAACCTACTTCTGTGTCATCAAATTCACCTGTAATCATAGAAGATTAGGGTTGGAAGAGACCTCAGGAGGTCAGTTAGTCCAACCCGCTGCTCAAAGCAGGACCAACCCCAAACTTAAATTTAAAATAGTTAGTTGCAAAACATGCTGGGCAGTTGACTTCATCCAACTACTGTTTATTTAAAAGGAAGTTTTTTCTGTGTTCTTGTGTTTGCTGTAGAAGTATGCTACCATAGATATTCACGTATTGACTCTGCATCCAGATAAAACTCATGGATACTTGGCCGCTTAGATACTAGGCCATTTAAAAAGAAAAATCAACTTTTAATCTGATTTGCTTTTAATTTTATTGCAAGCCTTTCTAGTTGACATAGACCTCGGAGGATGTGTCTACACAGCTTCTGGGAGCAATTCTTGTAGCCTGCGTGGACAGACTTGTTTTAGTGGGGCTTCCACTAGCATGCTTACAAATAGCAGTGTGGCTGTTCGGGTTTGGCCTGTGGAGCCTAGGGAGCCCAAATGTCAAAGCAGTGCCTACACAGCTATTTTTAGCACACTAGCCCAAGCCCTGCAAGTGTGAGTCTGTCAAGACTCGCTCCCGGCAGCTGTGTAGACAGACATACCATAGAGTCCTTGGTAAAATGCGCTGCATTTAATTTCACTCGTATCCCCAGTCATTTCAGCAGTTGGGTCTAATCTAATTCCATAATAACGAAGCAACAAACTAGACATTGTTAGTTGCCATACAAATAATCCTAGCAGAGGCAGAAAAAGGTACTGCCAGCAGTTTAAAAACAGCAGTGGGGACCTTGACCAAATAAAAGCAGTTTCAGCTTTCCTGGGGTAGATTTGTACTGGTTTTGAGGAATCAGATAGGGAATATATCTAAGCCCAGTTAAATTATTTAGATCTAACTGGATTTTTTTGTCATGGAAGGAAAGTATTTTGAAGGAAATATCCTCTCAGAATGTATACTCAATGAGGAGCATGTCAATTATTGTTCAATAGCCCTATTGATCATCAGCATGAATCTTTGAAATAATGGACCACTCGTTGGCAAGCATAATGATGAGTCAGTTCACTGTCAATCAAATGGGATTTTTCCAAATAACAGGTTGGACAATGGATTGGAGGCTTTTAACCATGAGAGAGAGTTTGACACTGTCTTCAGTTGTATGGTGGTTGCATACAAGGACCTCTGAGTCATTCTTCTGGTGAAGTGTCAGTGCCCATACTAGAAAGACAAGGTGCAGAGGTAATTGGACCAACTTCTGTGAGAGAAGTTTCAAGCTTACACAGAGATCTCCCATCTTGTCCGTCTTACATTATAAATGGCAAATATTTGCATACAGTCTCTAATTCTGACCTGGATTTTCTGACCTATTTAAAAATATTAAATTGTCTGGGTACTGTTTGTTTCTATTATAGTTCACTTGGTACATGGCCAGTGAGGAATGCTAATCTTATTTTTTTTTTGATCTCTGAATTTAAAAAAAAACAACCCACAAAATATCTCAGCACAATGATTTGGAGCTATTAAATTGTGCATATGGTTAGTCTGTGACCATATACCCCTATGATTATCTAGTTCATTCCTTTCTTTTATGCCCACTTGTTGCATCTTGTTTTAAGCTAGTTTGTAAGCTCCTCATTGTATGAACCACCTCTTCTTATATGTTCAGATAGCACCCTGATTCTTATTGGGGCCCCCTGGATGCTACTATAATATAAATAATGGCTATGGGCCCAATTCTGCAAACATTTCAAGTCTGGTGGAACTACTCATTGGTAAAGTTAATCATGTGCATAAGTGTGCGGCTAGACTTTAAAGTTACATACTAGTTTCAATTGCATCTTTTTTTTATATAGAATTTTCTAATTGTAGGCTTAAAGGGACATGGTTTGAAAGATCATTTGTCTGAATGTTGTACCTACTATAGTGACAGGTCACACCTAAAAGTACTGTAATTTAAAAGCTAGCAAAACAATTCTCAATCTTTTTTTTATTTTGTGTCTAGTCAGTTTCATCGTTCTTCTGCAAAACTTCTCCCTTGCAGAAAAGATTTGCATAAATGTAAACAGGGGAGAAGAAATACGCTATAAAAGGAATTGGAGACAAAATCAGAGCATGCTGTTTGTCTATTTTAGAGAATTGAAATTGGCAGCATTCTTGTAAACTTCCCATACTGGTCTCTACCCAAAGTCAAATTGCATTTGACAGTCTGACTGTTGGGTGAGAGTGAAGCATTCCTCCCCATTCCCTAGTTGTAAAAAGAAACAGCTGAGCTCTGAAGCGTAAAAGTTGATAAGGACTTTGTGCTTACTGAGGATGACTTCCATTGCTTAGATTGAACAAAATCTGTTTTGATTTAATCATTCAAAATTGAATGTTGGATATGTGCAGTAGAAAAATGAAGTTTACACACGCACACTTGAATATACTATGTATGCTAGTGCAATACAAATATGGAAGTGCACACGTATTGGTTTGTGGAATTCAGCAGTAGAAAGCAGAACTCGTAAGGGTTGCAAATGGAATAGCTATGGAGTAGTGAGCCTGTAAGTTGGAGACATGTCTTCTAAAACCAGCTTCCACACTTCCAGCTTCCCCCAGAAAACACTAGGAAAATCAATGCAGAAAACATGCTGAGGTTGCACAGTTAGAAATAAAAAGGGTCCAACTTCAATGTTAATCAGCTGTTGTGCAGCATAAGACATAAAAAGATGGGCCTTTTGTAATGAGCAGTAATACTTTACCCCAAAGAGGAATAGTAAATGGTTCATATGTACCATGTAGTGCAAATACAGTGTACTAGTAGAACCAGGGGTTCTCAAACTGGGGGTCGTGACCCCTCGGGGTCGTGAGGTTATTACATGGGGCGTCGCGAGCTGTCAGCCTCCACCCCAAACCCTGCTTTGCCCCCAGCATTTATAATGGTGTTAAATATGTAAACAAGTGTTTTTAATTTATAAGGGGGGGGTCACACTCAGAGGCTAGCTATGTGAAAGGGGTCACCACTACAATAGTATGAGAACCACACTCTTTTCTTCTGGATAAACCTCTAATTTATATAATTCAGCCTTGCTTCAAATCAAGCAATAAAAGTTGCTGTTGGAACTGCAGTTTCTGCTTTGCATTGCCAGAGTTTATAATGAACTGTGCAGTCTTCACATTGCATGAATGCTGGGTTTTATATTTTAAAATATTTTTTACAATTCTGATTAAATTATTGGTACACGACAGTAGTAATTTTGTCATTTCTTAGAGACACTGAAACTGCTTGTGCATTCATATTTACATTCCCCTACATAAAAACAAATCTTGTCCTATCCTTTTTTTGACTACTGTGGGTACTCACAGATCCAAACACATTTCTGAGGCTGAATGTAACTTGAATATCCCGCACATGTCCTGATTGTGACACCGACTCAATTGTTGCTTGACTCCTCTGCTTGTCTCTCTCGCCATCAGAAGTTGGTCCAATGAACAATATCATTTCACCCACCTTGTCTCTCTAATATCCTGGGACCAACACAGCTACAACAACACGGCATATCCTCTGCTTGAGTAACTTAAAGCTAAACTGGACAAAGCACTAGGGAATGGTTCTGCATTAGCCGCTAGAAACAAATAAGATTTCCTAATACTGTAGGGGGTAGTGTTTTGAAAGGCATCCTTGGAGCCCAACTCCCACTGACTAATGGTGCCTTTGAAAATTTACTCATAAGTCTTTTTAAATTCCCAATTCCTGGTGCAGCTGACAAGCAATTTTGTTGCAACTCTTTGAAATATAAACTACTCTAAGCTGTCTGGTTCTGGGTCTTAACTTTGGAAAGGAACATCTTCTGGAGTATAATTCACTTCCTTAATAATTAAGTCATGCATAATTAGACTTGGCAGAATTTGACTTTGTCAGTTTGATGGATAATATAAAAAATGTTTGTTTTTTAAGCATTTTTCTGACTTTAATCTATAACTTTTCACAGCTGCAGGAAATTATGGGGTATTTCAGACAATAGGAAGGTCAGTGAATAATTATTAATCACTGTAGATGTTGAGATTCAGAAAGTTAAAGCTTTGTAACTGCTAAAACACAACTAGTCAACATCACTTGTCAAAATACACAAAGTAAATTTGAGCCTTGACTCAAATTCTAGCAAGTTCTCAAGCAGCATTTTTCTTTCTTTGCCTATATGTATATTTTGATTATTATAGATGGGAATATTTGTGTTGATTTGTGTGTATATGGTGAAATTGACATTTACCAATAAAAATCTACCACTTCCAAGCCTATGCATAATTAAATATGTTTGAATAGAGAACATGTGAGAAGTGACAAAGGTTAGAGCAAAGAGTGATCCTTTCTTACACCAACATAGAACTTGTATTCTAAAAGAGCTTGGGTTGTGGATCCGGAGACCACTTCTTCCTATCCTGTGAATTAGTGAGAATTATTTTAACACAAACTGCACTGCAGCAGTAATTGTTCCATCAGATCCTCCTTGAGCAGTGGGAACAGAACCTTCGTTTTTCTTTTGCAGAATCCTAAAACAAAAGCGCAGATTGAAAACCTGGTACGGAATGGGATGAACAAGGAGCTGCGGGATCGCCTCTGTTGCAGGCTGACCTTTGGGACTGCTGGACTTCGTTCTGCCATGGGAGCAGGCTTTTGCTACATTAATGACCTTACAGTGATCCAGTCAACACAGGTAACTTGGGTAGCACTATACAGTCAGACTTTTGGTTTACACTTTCAGAGTAATCATCCTGATCACTTCAAATTATGCCTTTCATCTTCAAAATTCACAATGCATTTAAACTTACTTGACGTTATATATATATGAATTGCGTCACCCATCACTGAAATCCAGCCTCATGGGTGGGATGTGGCAACTGTTCAACAGTCCACAGAAACACCAAAAGGACAGGAAGTGTAAAATTACTCATCCAGCTAAACCTGCCCAAGGCATCTTAGGTAGGCCAGATGTAATTACCTAAAGTGAAGTTTTGCCAGTGAGCTAAAGCTTTTTGTGTTAACTTCAGGGGACTCATCTGATATTACATGAGCAACCAAAATGCTCTTGTTTGCAAGTCTTTGAAAGATATAGAAAATTCCTTCTCATTATTTATATTCTCTATTTTCAGGGTTTCTATACCCCTCCTTCCCCATCATGTGAGCAGCAATCTGGTGGGGGGGGAGAGGGCGCTTGCCCTTTTGAGAGGGTCTGAGTGTGATGAAGTGGGAATGTTTCTTAATATTTTGTATGATTACTGTGCATGTCTCCGTTTCACCTATGTGCTGCATGTTGAACTAGGTGCTGGGAAGAGTTGTTTACTTGATAGCAGCCTTCAACTACCTGAAGGGGGGGTTCCAAAGAGGATGGAGCTCGGCTGTTCTCAGTGGTGGCAAATGACAGAACAAGGAGCAA